GCCAAAGATCATCATGCAGAATGTTATTTTTGTGGTGTCAATGACAGGATTTTCTGCAAAGTACAAAAACAATATTGTTTATTTAGTGATGGATTTAGCACAAATACCAGAGAGGTATTGTGAAGATTTGCCCATTCCAATTCCTCCAAACAATGGTATAGATTCCATCAAAGATAAAGTAAATAAAGGTAAAAGTGTAAGTGGTAGTCTTCCTAAACCGTCTGCAGATCCTGATTACACATTAGAAGATAAAAATTTTGAGCCAAAACTGTTAAACCAAGAACAAATGAATGATCTTTTTAATGAACTATCACTGTCTAAAGAGAAAACCGTTCCGTGGTTCAAACCCTACCTCTGGGAAAGTTTTGCGACATCAATTAGGAAAGAGGCGTGAACTTCCTAAAAAATACTCATTCACGGTACTCTGTGACAAGACCGTAAGGACTTCATGGGGCACCTAAATAATAAAAAAAAAAGCAGAGCTTTTAGTCTTGAGACAACAGGATAACATATGTTATCCTGTTGTCTTGAGACAACAGGATAACATATTACCCGACAAAAATGTTCGTACCTGTTGCTACCGAAAGCGGTATATTAACTTAGAAGAACTTACAAACTATTGTTGATTCATTTGCCTGTAGGACAGCCATGCTAAAACGTAACACAACAGTAAACCTGAATGTGCACGAAGGTCTACATGTTTCATAGGAAAAAACAGTGTCCAGTTTATTGTAAGATGATCCGCGTTAGCTAATCTTTGTACCTTCTTTCTACATTAAACTAGGTTTATAAAAGAATTATTTTAAAGCAATGTGTAAAGTTAATTCAAAAGAGTTCTTATTCATTTTTCATCAAAGTTGAACGCAGGATATTTAAAAAAGAAAAAACAAAACAAAACAAAATTGATTGTATGATATTAGAGTGGGCCGACTAAAGTCTGAATTTCTACACGTCTCTGGTATTACCGTGGTCAACTTATTTTTCCGCGCAGCGACCTTGTTTGTCAAAGTTCACGTTTCGGAGGTAAAGAGTTGAGAGATTGTTGCAACCACATAAAAGAGAAAAAAATATTAAATTTATATTTATGTATTTAAAGAATAACAAAGGTTGTTGGGGCCAAGCGTAGAATATTTTTTATTGTAAAACTTTTTAAATTCAGTATTTCTTTATTATATAGAATTCATTTTGGGCTATTGGAAGGCAACTTTTTAAAAATGTTATTTGCCAGTCCACCGTAATGTATATGTTACTTTTCACAAATAAATAGTTTGCACAAATTGCGATTTGGATTTAATATGAAATATACATTTAGAAAAACTTATTTTTCTGCGATAAGAAAAAAAAGTTTAATTTTGTTTTATAACGAGAAAACCTTTATTGGGAATATAGTAAATGACTTCATAAACCACTGCATTACTAAATGGTAGTGCATCCAATACCGGTAGTACCGATACCGGAATACCGGCATTACCGGACTTTTTCAAGTACCGAAATACCGGTATTGGGTTTGTCCAATACCGGTATTAAACTTCCAAAAAAAAAACCTGGAAATAGCATGAGTCCCAGGGTAAACAAGGAAAAATCAGGGATTTTTTTTTTTTAATATTCAGTAAATACTCATGGAAAATTATTTTCCATTTTTGTAAAATAATGGTTTATTAATTTATTAATAATAACTTAAGTTATGATAAAATTCATAATATATATTATCAGTAATTTTTTTTTTTAATTGTACATTTGATGTTAAATTTATATGGTTTGGTTACTTTCAATTCAATTAGTATAGTAGTTTCAAACCAAGAAGTACAGATATATAATTTGAATATCTCAGGGAGTTTAGATAGCTAAACTCAGGGAAGAACCTTCTTTACTCAGGAAATACTCAGGGAAAACTCAGGGCAAAACTTTTAAAATTATAGTGGCAACCCTGTATTATATATTAGCATTATGTCAGTAGCTGAGCACGTGCTTGTGTTTTGCACTAACGCAATGAATGAAAAGTTTGAAGTCGTTACCGCTGATTTCTATAATGGAAATTCTTATATTTTTTTATATTTCCTATTCACAAAGCGTATCCGCGTGCGCTTGGTTATAATAGTAAACATTCCTGGAATGGAATGGAATAACCGCTGATTTCTATAATGGAATTTCCATTATAGAAATACCGCTTCCATTATAGAATAACCGCTGATTTCTTTAATGGAATTTCCATTATAGAAATCAGCGGTTATTCTATTCCATTCCAGGAATGTTTACTATTTTAACCATGCGCACGTGGAACGATTTGTGAATAGGAAATATAAAAAATATAAAAAACTAATGCAAACTGAATGCAAATAGAAAATTACTATAAGAAAATTGAAACTTCAGATAATTTTTATAAAAAAAAAATTGTGCAATTTCAATTAAGAACTAATAATCAATATTTTATTTCTTATGAATTCATTTACTTTAAAGTCAAGAAACATATGAAATGTCCCAAAAGGTATTCGAAGAGTTTAGTACCGGCGTACGAAATGACGAAAATTCTGTGTGGTTTTATTTTCTACGTGATAAAGAAAATCAACTTGCAAAGTGTAAGAAATGCAGCAAAGAGATAAAATCAAATGGTGGCAGTACCAGTGGACTGCATACACATCTAAGAACTATCCATAAAATTGACTTACTGAAAAGAAAATTGGTCCAAGATTCAGCATCGACATCGGTTTCGTTTTCATTGGCACCGTTGCCAACGGCCAAAAAACTCAAACCTCAGATCACCGACTTCTTACAAAATCAACACGACAATTCCTTGCCTGCAGTTTTTTTTAGATTGACTGGCCTTGATGGACTTTTAGCGTATTTGTTACGTCAACAGAGCTGAAAACATCGCTACAAGCTCGTGGGTTTGTTGTTCCAAAATCGGCGACGACAATTCGCAATATGGTAGTTAAATACGCGGACACGATCAAAGAAACTGTAATGTCTAAGTTTAATAACCTCCGATCACAAGGGATGCGATTCAGTTTGACATTTGACGAATGGGCATCAATTAAAAACCGCAGATATTTAAATGTAAACGTTCACACCGAGGACGAATTTTGGAGCCTTGGATTAGCTAGAGTTGTTGGTTTTCTGCCTGCAGAAAAATGCATTGATTTAGTTCAAAAAGTATTGACACAGTTTATGCTGAACTATGATGAAGACATTGTGTGTATTACTACTGATGGAGCTTCCGTAATGCAGAAGGTGGGGCGTTTGAGTAATTGTGAACAACAGTTGTGCATTGTGCATGGCATAAAATTGGGTGTTCAAGAAGTTTTGTACAAAAAACCGTCAACTTGTGCAAAAAGAAGCTTGAAAGTAATCTGCAATTAGAACAACATCAGTGAAAGTGATGAGGATATTAGCACTGACGATGATACAAACAAAACCAATGACGACGAAGTAGACTTTTCCGGCGGGTTTCAAGTTGTAATGAGTGAAAAAGATGACCTTATTGAAATGACTGATGAACTGCAGCCGTTAATCACTAAGGTGCGCACCGTTGTAAAATTGTTTCGCTGTTCTCCGACAAAAAATGATCAAACACTTCAAAAATATACAGTAGAGGAATTTGGTAAAGGCCTTTCGTTGACTCGCTGGAGTAGCTTACACACAATGCTCGAACGTTTTGCGAAATTGAAAAACTGCATTCGCAAGTCGCTGATTGACCTTGAATCCAAAATTGAAATAACTGATAAGGAGTTCAATTCAATTTTAGATGTTGTTTCCTGTCTTGCACCAGTAAAATTGGCTGTGGAAGCATTGTGTTGAAATGATGCAACACTGTTATCAGTCGATGCAACACTAAAGTTCATGATAAATAACATTGGAGACACAGATTTAGCTGTTAAGTTAAAAGCTACTTTAGTGCGACGAATCAATGAGCGACGTACAACTTTTTCCAGCTTACTGCACTATCTGCACAAGGGCCATCAATGTTACGAAAATTTGGATCCAGCGCTATCTTTCGAACACCTTAGCAAATCGGCCATTGTAAATATTATTGCTCGACTGAATGATCGGCTCAGTCAGCGAGCTTATAATCCTTCCACCAGCGTATCTTCTGATAGCGATTCTGTTGACAACACTGCAAACTTGTCATTGAAAGAAAAGCTTGACATGGCAATTTTAAATAATAGGAAATGTAACAATAAGAAAAGAATGAACGTTTCGAATAATTTATCAAAAACCATACGCAATGAGATGGTAGTTTTCGAAGATGGAGGAACTCGCAGTGTATATTTGCAAAATTCATACGAATACTTGAAAACTGTAAAGCCAACAAGTGTCGAATCAGAGCGTGGATTTTCAGCAAGTGGCAACATTGTCACAAAATTACGATCATCTCTTGAAGATGATACTCTGAATGCACTATGTTTCTTACTGGCATACTTTACAAAGGAGAAAAAAGTGAAGAATGAAAAAGTTTGTAATTTTGATATAAAATAAAATAGCATTTTGAATCAAAGAAGTTTTACTATTTACTTGAGATTTTATTCATAATATGATTAATTAAAATAATAAAAATAATACCGGTATTACCGGTATTAAAATAATTCAGTACCGAAATACCGGTATTGAAAAATGTTATCGGTATTGGATGCACTACTAAATGGTATCTACGTTCATATACTTACTTAAATACTTTTTTTTTCTTAAATTATCTAACTATTGTAAGAATAATTTGCATAGAGCAATTTAACTGTTTTATTTAAATAGAAGCCGATGTGCAATTTTACACTCATTTAAAATTAAAGTGCATTCAAACTATAAACAAAATTGTATTATTTTATCTTCTTATTTACATAAAATAACAAAACTTATGTTTTAAATATATATTTTTGTAACAAACTTTTCTTGTAAAAATATCAAACATAACTGAAAAAAAATTCTAATTAAGTTTACATTAAAAAAATATTAAAAAATATTATATTAATAATTCGTTTTTAACAATCAATAATTAAGAAAAAAAGAATAAAAATGAAATAATTAAAAATAAACAAAAAGCAAGGTAAGAACAAGCTTAACAGTAAAGATAAAAAGAGATAATCGCCACAAAAAAATTAAACAAATTTATAGATTTTTTAGCTCATTTATAGCACTTAATAAAAGTTCACAAGTTTCGCGATGATTTTCTTGATGTTTTTGAGCGAGAAGAGAAAGCGACTCCTTGAAATGTTTTACGCGATTTTCATTAAACAACTCCACCTAAAATTATTATTTAGTTTTATTAGTTATATAATGTATATATGTATATATGTATATATATATATATATATATATATATATATATATATATATATATATATATATATATATATATATATATATATATATTTTTAATCATCTTCGCTTCCAACAAGGTTGCAAGCAACCACTTATTAGTGTTGGAAGTTACTGGAAGAGAAAAGATGAAGATTGTAGAGCAAGATAACGATTGACAGACGACTTAAAATATTGCAAATTATATGAATCAGGAAAGCAAGATGAAGGAAGCGAATTCCAAAGAACTGATGTTCGAGGAAAAAAACTAGACGAATAAGAGTTTTTGGAGCACTTAGGAACAGTAACAGAAAAAGGATGAGACTTAATTGAATGACGAGTAACACTAGAATGAATTTTAGTAGATGACACAAGAGACGCTAGCTCTTTAGAGCAGTGCCCATTATAGTATTTGTAGAAAAGAGAAAGAGAAGCAACATTACGACGATGTGACAGAGGTTGAAGGTTGGCTGCAAGAGCAGGTCCAACTATGTTTACAATGCGTTTTTGCACCTTGTCTAAAAGAGAAAGGGCATCATTAGAAGATCCGCCCCAGATATGGCAACAGTATTCCATACAAGGCCGGATTTGAGATTTATAGAGATAGAGAATAGAATCCAGAGTAAGAAAGTGACGAGCTCGATAAAGAGAAGCAACTTTAGCAGATGCTAATTTTGTAACGGATTTGATATAAGGTTTCCAAGAAAGATCAGAAGAGTTAATCCTAGAAGATGAAGGGTAGGAGACTCATCGAGTACATTACCGTTCATAAATATAGAAAGGTCTAAATTATTGCGATAACGATTGGCCGAAAAAAATTGAGTTTTATCTGAATTAAAGTTCACCAGCCACTGCGAGCCCCATGCTGTAGCAGAAGTGAATCTTTTTCGAGCTCAGATTTTATTAGTATATGTTTTACAAAATTAATTGACGCTTTAAGGAAAAAGTTGTTCATACTCTAAACATGACAATGGGGCAGATTGGCCCGATGCAACCGGGGCACGTTGGCCACATGGCCAACTTGTCCTGTAGAGTTTTTAAAATAATTTCGGTAAATTTGTGACGGAAAAATTGTTTTTGCTATAAAAAAATTAAAATTTGTAAAATATAATAGATCAGAAATAAGCCTCATAAACAAATTGGCTTTTGTTTTTATATCTTTTTTGGAGTTTTATGCGTCGATAATAAGAAAATATCACTTGTATATACATAATATTTAAATTTGGATAAAAAATCTTATTATAAAATTTAATTTTAACTTAGATTTACATATATGTCTAAACTTAATTATTGTATAAATTTATATATTATATATATATATATATATATATATATATATATATATATATATATATATATATATATATATATATATATATAAACTTAATTATTGTATATATTTATATATTATTATTATTATATATATATATATATATATATATATATATATATATATATATATATATATATATATATATATATATATTATTTAACTTATAATATAACTTGTATATTTAAAATTAATTGATATTTAAACTTTTACATACTAGTTATACTTAGATATATACTTTTCATGCTTAACCCTTAAATTTATATATGATATATAAATTTAATATGACATGAGCTTTGTAAATTATTAACAATCAAAAGTAATATTTTAAAAAAGAAAAATATCAAATGTAACTTTTTAAATATGCAGGTATATAAATAAAAAGTATGCAGGTATATAAATAAAAAAAGCTTTTTAAAAGCTTTTTAAAAAGGCTTCACAAAAAGAAAAAAAAAGGATTCACAACAGTGCAGCGGCTTGATCGTGTTGTTGCACGTAGAGGCTTTCGCCAGATATGTTGAGTAGCATCAGCAGAATGAGGAGCATTAGTGACTATGGCTTTGGTAGTTAGTGCAATTGGCAATAGCATACCTCCATATTTTATCTTTTAGAGTTAATTTTAAAACTCACTTTATTCGTGATGGACCAATAGGATGTGATGGATCAGCACATTCTTCAGGATAGAAGACAGAGACAAATTTTCTTCAATATATCAAACATTTTTCTATCCATACACGTTGTTCTAATGATCGCCCTTGTTTGGTATTGATTAACAACCACAGCTCTCATCTTGATGCAGCAGTACCTGATTTTTGTAAAGAAAATGGTATCACACTTTTATCTTTTCCAATACACTGTAGTCAAAAAATTAAAGCCATTAGATAGAAGTGTTTATAGTCCTTTTAAAAAGTTTGTGAACTCAGCATGTGATGCATGGGTTACTGTAAACAAACGACCTATGACTATCTATGACATACCTGGTAAAGTAAAAACAGAACTTCCTAATGCTATAACTCCAAGGAACATAATTAGTGGTTTCCAAGCAACAGGTATTTATCCGTTTAACAGAGATATTTTTTCAGACAGTGATTTTTTGCCATCATATTTAACAGATAGACCAGACCCTAGCACTAAAATGTCATCTGTGGATTTTAGCATCAGTAAACAAACATTTAGCAACAAAGTTTCATCTGTGGATTGTAAACAAAAAAATTTCAAAAACTTTAACTCAAATGAATCAACATCTAAGTAAGAAAATTTTCCAGATTTAGACAGCACACCAGGTGCTACTCCAAGCTCTTCACTTATACCAGAAGTGAGGCCTTTTGAAAAAGCTCAGCCTAGAAAAAACAATGTAAATAAGCTCAGTAATCGGAAACAAATTTCTGCTATATTTACGGATACACCAGTTAAAAAAGCCTTGCAACAGGAACAGAAAGCAGCAAATGAAAAAAAAACAGAAGGGTTCAAAAAATAAAAAAAAATATTTTCTATCAAAAAAGCCGGTCCAAGTAACTCTAAAACAAAAAAGATTTTTGCCAGTCAACCTGTAAAAGAAAAACAAGCGCAACAAGAAAAACAAAGATGATAATAAGGAAGATGTCTTTTGTCTTAGTTGCTTTAAACGTTTTCAAACAGCCTTCCAGGTGCTGTGTGGATACAGTGTTCAAGCTGTCAGTGTTGGGCCCATGTGAGTTGTGTAGAAAAAGATGCAAAGGGGTTAGATTATAAATGTTTATACTGTTGTTAAATAAAATGTTATTGTTATATTTTGTTTTTACTTAATTTTTTTGTAGTTTATTGTTTGAAAGTTGTTTCAATTTTGTTTTATCAAGTTTTTCAAAGTTGTTTCATCAAATTGTAAAGTTATTTTTGCTCAATGAGCGTTTTCCCACCTCAAAGTTTGCATAAGTTGTATTTGGGCCAGCAACCTTTTTCCACAAAAAAAATAAATTAAAAAACAAAAAGCTAAAAAGTTATACATCAAGGTAAAAAAAGCGGTCCAACGTGCCCCGGTCTCCCCTACTTTTGCAGTATCTATTATTTTTACAATCTGCAAAAAAAAAATTTTGACTAAAATTTTATCTTAGCTATGTAGAACTAATGAATCCATTGTTTTTTTGTGTGATGAAACTTGATTCAGGCAACAATTACCCCAAGTTGATATGTTGCTAAAATTTTTTTGGGTTTCAATTCCATGAGTATTACTTTAAAAATGTTAAATATATATCTTTTTTATCATATTTATTTTTCCAAGAAAGTAAATAAAAGTAATAAAAATTGGTTTGTGGACAAAAAAAGGATATGAAATGTGGATATGAAAAAAGGATATGAAAGTGGCTATTTTAGCTTATCAAAAGGGTAACATTGGAATCAACGCTGTATGTGTAACATTGAAATCAACGCTGTATGTGTAAAATATAAAATATTTAAACCAATATTAAAAAGACACATGAATCATCAAAATATACATATTTGCAAATGAATCAAATAAACAGATAGGTATAGTAACTTACCTTCTGAGAAAGAATTAGTTTTTTGAAAACTGGAAAGTATGCTTGGATAAATATTGGATCTAACTAGATTTGGGTTTTAACTTGGATTGGATAAGATAACTAAGAGTTTAAATTGTTAAAAAAAAAAAATACATCATTGACAAGAACTTAGTGTAGTTGGAAAGAAATGGTATTACCAATTCATGAAAGGCGGTTTTGAGATGATTTTACCCAACTTCTATGGCAAGAGCTACAGGGGTTTGTAAGGAAAAGATTGTATTATTTTTCAACAAACTTAATGAATTTGTTGATAACCACAAAATTACAGCAGATTTGCTTTACAACCTGGATGAAACTCAAATAAGTACAGTTTTAGTTTTGAAAGGTAAACACCAAGTAATGGGTATTACAAGTGGTAAAAAGTGGTGTGAATACCCCTGCCGTATGTTGTATGAATGCTGTTGGATCTTTTGTACATCCTATACTGATCTTTATACATAAAAGAATAAAAAATGAGCTTAAAAATATCAAGGCAACACCATTGACAAATTTAGATGTTCTTATACTGGTTGGATAACGACAGATTTACTTTGTGCATAAGTCATTTTATAACTTCACTCCTAAACCTCTTACAGAAAAGCCAGAACAAAAAAAGTTCTAATACTTGATAGACATTCAACACATACAAAAATTTTCAAGCCTAAGTTCTAGCTTGAGATCATGGAGTAGTAATGCTTTCTTTGCCATCGCATACTACATATAGGCTGCAACGTTGTTGGTATGGAAAACGCTATTAATGACACTAGGATATAGCTAGTAGACAGCTTAGTTTTCCAGGAAGAGCACTTTGCACCTAATGAAATAATCAGGGGAGAAATGAGTTCAAATGCAAAAGCTTCCCAAACACTAAGTTTAGAAATTTTTTTCCTATTTTTTGATTAACATTTCATTTATTTAAGATGAACTTTTTTTAGGTACAATATCTATGAATCCAATGCAAACTTTTTCACTCAAGCGGAAACAAAAAAGTCTAAAACTACTCTATTGAAAAAATTAACGTTGCTTGCCCATAGAAAAAGATCTTTACAAAAATTTTTTAAAATGTTTTAACTGAATTTAATATAGTATTTGAAAAATCAAGATATAGGTACAATATTGGATTATAATGGTATGAATAAGGATCTAGTTTCCTTAATTGTACTAATTTGTACTAAATGAATAATTGTATTCCCTGTCAAATACCAATGTTTAAATTATTAAATATTTCAACTTTTAAGAACATTTTATCCACAAATTACAAAATACAATTAGATACTATTGATTCTACTTCGTAAATTTTTTTTTCCGTCAATGTATGTACTGAAGCCCCCAGCAGCAGACTATTTCAGTATGACGTCAGATTGCTTACCATAGTACACAATACTATTTGTATATATATATATATATATAAATATATATATATATATATATATATATATATATATATATATATATATATATATATATTATATATATATATATATATATATATATATATTGCAGGAGCAATTTACAGCTCTTGCAAAAGTATAATTTTTTTCTTAAAAATACAATTATAATTGTAACTAAAATGAAAAACACATTTAGTTAAAAAATAAATTCATAATAAACTGCAATGCTTTTTAAAAGGCATGGTTGATGAACAAAAAAAAAATTGAAAAAAGTGCTGATTTAAATGCAAATGTTTTTAATTAGATCGAACTATTTCATAAATATAACATTATTACACTCTAAATTTTAATGATAAAACATAAAATTATTCAACTGATAAAAAATAAAATTATTTAACTGATAAAAAACACTCTAAATTATTGCAATATAATTTTTATTTTATGTAATGAATTATATATTTGAAATATTAATTACTTTAATATATTTTTCACTTTTATTGTGGAATTTTTAATTGTTGTAATAATTCTTAAAATGCCTGTATTCATAAAAATAAGAAAATATAATTTTTTTTTATAAGCAGTAAAAACTTTTATAGCCCTTTATCAAATTTTTTTTATCAAACAAGTTATTAATAAATAGATAGCTAGAGTAAAAACCCAAAGACAACATTCAACTAAAGAATTTTTTTCACCGCACAATAAATGTTTATTATGTATATATTCTTGTAACATTAATGTTTCAAACATATGCTTGTAACAAGTATAAAACCAAATTTTGTATTTAATAAGCAATTTTTTTATAAATAAACAGATAGCTCATGCAAAAATCAAAAGCTCTTGTAAGAAGCTGTTTAGAGGAGCAGCTCCTACTCCCGCCGAGGCCTGTATATAATTCATATATATATATATATATATATATATATATATATATATATATATATATATATATATATATATATATATATATATATATATATATATATATATATATATATATATATATATATATATATATATATATATTAATTTTATATTTAATTTTAAATAATAATTTAAATAATGAATATGTAACAAAAAACCTTTAAAACGTATACTTTTTTTCATATAATCACTTATTGAAAAAAAATATTTGAATTATTAAAACTCAAGGTACCTCGGCTTTTGTAACTTCAGATATACGATCAAACGCAATAGATGCTTCTTCCTTTGCAGACAATAGCTATTGTTAAATAAACAATATACAATAAGTAGATACCCTTTTGCTTACACTCACTTTATCACAAAATAAATAATGAAAAGCGTTTATATATATATATATATATATATATATATATATATATATATATATATATATATATATATATATATATATATATATATATATATACATATACATATATATATATATATATATATATATATATATATATATATATATATATATCTACTATAGCATATTTGGGTGAGTATGACGTTAGGTAAGTATGACATCATCATGCTCACCTAACTCAGCAGTATAAGATATATATATATATATATATATATATATATATATATATATATATATATATATATATATATATATATATATATATATATATATATATATATATATATTTATTAATGATAATTAAAGACTGTTTTCAACAAGATTAAAATAAGCGAACAAAGCGAATTTTTTCGTCACAACGAAAAGCTGTTTTGATTTCCATTTTGGGGTTGATATCCATCAATTATGTCACATATTTTTTTACCCTCTTCCCCCTCGTAATGCATTGTAACATTGTATTGACCCCCCCCCCCAATATTATACAACAATTTTTTACCCCAGAAAAAAATATTTTTTAAACACTTTTCAATAAAATAATGCCTATATTCTTAGCTTCTCTGATTTAATTTGAGTTAATTTTCAGTCTGTTTCATGTTTTTTTTCACCCTAATAGTTTGTGTAAAACTGTAAAATTAACATCGCTATCCTAAACATCATCCTAATTTTAAATAGCTATTTTTCTGATATAAACATGCAAAATTATTATTTTATGAATATAATTTTCTCGTCATTAGTCATGTTAGTGTGGCTGAGTGAACTCCGCTTCCAGCTTGTACACCGTGGATGGGAGTTTAATTTTATTTATTTTTAGTTAGTGCACAAAGGTTGTTTTTTGTTGTTGCTGCACACTTTAGTGCACTAACTAAATAAAGTTCTGCACTTAGACCGTATAAAGTCAAAGGGTAGAACATGCACTGCACACAACTGTAACAACTGTAGGCACAACGTTTTGCGCCTTCGGCTGTAACAGTCCGTTAACAGACTGTAACTACTTCGTTAACAGAGTGTACACATCGACTAAGTAAGATTTAGGCGCAGTTGATTTTACAATTACCATGTAGATCCATCAACTGTGGGTTGTGGTTTGGTCAGATACTTATTTAATTAAAAGAAGGTCTTCTCTAGATTTAAAACTTAAAAAAAAACAAATGTTGCCTCACCAAAATGGGAGATTTCCTCCCCCTAATAACGAATTGTCAAAAAATCTCCTAGCCTTTTCCCCATCAGGGATGCGTGACATAATTTATGGATGACCCCTTTAATTTTTGCGCTACTATTTCAGTTATTAATAAAAAATGTCAGCTATAAGTTTATGCTGAATGCTTTTGAAAAAATATATATATAAAATAGCTTTTGATGTATATCTGTATTTTTTTAGAACGTTTAAAAAAGAATAACTTCTCATATAAACACTTCTGTTGAAAAACTGTTACTGCAAGAAATAGATGGTTCAACTTTGAAAGAAAATAAACTTTCTTGTGAAATGAAACTTTCAAAATTGACAGCATTAGTAAATTCACCTTTATTTTATGATTTCATAAATGATGAGTTTACTAATACTTGCCAATTTTTATGGTGTGTTCTAGAGCTGCTCAACTTGATGTTCTTATTTACTTAGAATTCCAAGTAACACCAAGTTGAGCATTTTGTTTTTTGTTGTTGTTGTTCATTGCTGTTGTTGCCATTTTGCCACAACAACATGCTTTTGCTTTTTTTTACTGTTAACTGTTGACTTAATGTGATATACTATTTCAATATGATTGGTTTTTGCTCATAACGATCAACTTTTTTTTTTTTGCTGTAGAGATTAGATTGATCAGCAATATTAGCGGAAATGTTTTATCTGCTTATTGACGAAAAAATCTTGTCTTGTGGAAAATGGCGTTAATAATATGCAATAACTTAATGATTGTAAACGGTTATCTATTAATACAATAGTGAATTTTTCTTAATTTAGTTTGTTAAATTTATTTACTTATAAAAAACCGTATTAACTTGAGGAAACTAAAATAAAAGGAAACTAAAAATAAAATAGAAGTTGTATTGACTTTTCTTTTTTTAAATTTTTAAAAATAATAATATCGTATTAAGTATCAAATAAGTTATTATATTAAGTTATTATTAAATAACTAATATAAAACTATTATATTATTTTAAATATTAAGTATTTAATATTAAATATATCATATTATTGCTAAATAATAAATTAAACTATAATAAACAAAATAATTCCATATATTCCATTAGATAATATATATTTCAGCAAAACTTAAAAATTTTTTATTCAAAACTTTTAAAAAATGTTTTTAGTACAAAAACGAACATTACTTTATTTAAACAATAATAAAAAATTTAAAAAAAAGCATGCTTTTAAATAAAGCAATGTTTTAGCATAGTTTCTTTTAAAGTAATAGCAAACCCTTTCATTTTACTGTAAGTAAAATTTTGAAAACTATAAACACGTGTAAAAACCATGCTAAAATAAAATTACTTTTTTTAATAGATAATGCCGAGCAAACAAGAAGGAATAATTAAAGTAACATTTCAACAAAACTCTGTTATTTAGTGCAAACGGCTATTACAGTATTATCAACATTTCTATATTGATGAATGGCAACTCTCTCACTGAGTCCTTTTCATTCTTGGATTATCATTTGGATCCTTTTCTTCTTGGATTATCATTTGGATCTTCATGCTTTCCTGACTCCTTCAACTGCTTTCCTGACTCCTTCAACATGCTTTCCTGACTCCTTCAACTTCAACTTTCCTGACAACCTTCAACTTTTTATGTCTTCTGTCAACTGTTTCCTGGCTCTATTACTCTATTCTTTTCTTCTAGTAACTCCAAACTAAATAGTGGTTGTTTAGAGCCTTGTTGGGAATGAATCAGAATAAAAAAAAAGCAATGACTATGCTTCTAAACAATTGTTTTAACATGTTTTTGAGAAATTAATTTTGTTAAATAAAATTTGTTGTAAAAATACCAAAAAATTATACATTAGGGTGTGTCATACTTTTTTTTTTTTGAATTTTGACTCGCATAATTTAAAAAAAGATGAGGTATAATATTACAAGTTTAGAACCGTCAACAAAAAAAAAAAAAAAAAAGTTTTAGCTACCAGGGAACCAGAGACACTATTTTACCAAAAACCCTGGGGGAGGGGGAGGTATGAACTTAAAAAATTGAAGTATTTTTTAAAAAAAACTTACAAAACGCAAAAAAACCTCATCTCTATTTTAAAAAATATATAATTATTTGTATAAAAACAACTAGAGTGGTTTGCCCCCCTCCCACTACCTCCCACTAAAATTGTAAAATTAGGTTGTTTTGGAATTAAAAATAAAACATTCATATAGATCCACAAAACATCTACTGGCACATTAAAATAAAGTACAATAAAGATTAATTCTTAAACGTTGTAAAGCCAATAAGGTTTTGTTTAGATAGATTTTGTGACATCAACTTCTGTGACAACTCTTGACCTTTAATCCAACCATCTCTTCTATCTTCTGTAAAAACATTTTCGCAAGCCTGGGTAACTTTTTTTACACATCTTTCGACAGCTTGAGTGTGGCAACACCAGTTTGGTACAATCATTGGTTTAAAAAAATACTCTTTGATGTCTTTAGTTTTCATGCAACAAGTCAAAGGTGGTTCAAAAGCTTCATTCCAATCAATAAGGTCCTTGAGACAAATTGCTTTAGTATTGATATCTGGTGTCCTTCTTGGTCTAACAGATAGATCTCCAAGTTGTACATTTTCATCACCTTCTCCTCTTATTTCAAGAATTTTGTTTACACTGAAATCTCTCTCCTCTTTATTTTCAGAACAAAGCATAGTTTGAAGAATAGATTCAGAGAAGGCATACCAAGCAGATCGCCTAATAGTTGGAATGACCATATTTTGAATATCAAGTGACTGGTGTTATAGCAACTTAAGCTGGTAAAGAACATGTTTTGGTCCTTCTGTCCAACTATATTTAACTTTGATGTTAAACCAGACAGGAAAGTACACTCCTACAATAAACTCGACTATTTTAAGAAGGTTTTGGGCTGCATCGCCTTGAAGACCATGATGAGATACCCAAATTCTACATATTCTATTGGCTGTTGTTAGCCATCTGGCCATGTTAACAGGGCCAATTTCCAGAAGTCCTAGTTGCTGAGGAACATGACCACTGCATATAGCTTTAACTATTTGATAGCCATAATACTGATCTCTTAAAAGGTCTTTAACCACATCATTACTCAAGTTAAATAGAGGCTCACCAGTTTCCACTCTACTAAAAAAAGGGTTAATTTCAAGATTGGTTGCTTCATTAAGTAAGCTTCCAATGGGTCCACTCCATTTTGTACCGCTTTTAAATTCTCCGTCTAACAATTTAATTAAACGTTTGAGTGGTAATTCATTGGTATGTAGAGCGCAGACAATCCAATTTAACTTTCGCCCTAATTTCAGCTCTATAAAGTGCATTACTCCTCCATCCCAACCAGTGTTTACATTGGTAGAGTCTCCGCCAATTGCTTTTAAGTGTGTACTAATGTTTCTCATTGCAGTATACTCAATATTCTTATCTGCTATAATTTCAGCATGGTTCTTTTTTGCTTCTTTACCTGGAGTGAAATGAAATAAATACTTACCATCACCAGAACAAACAGAGTAATGTTCTTTTTTTACTTTAGCCGGATACTGTCTGTCTGATCCATCTACAGTTAAAAATACTTTAGTAAGATCTTTTTGCACATCAAAAAATATGCAGTTAATAATCTCTTTATCACAATAACCATCAAACTGAACAACAACTTCATTCATGACTTTATCCCTAGCTCTCCGAACTTTACTGTGATCTATTATTAATCTAGTATCACTTTGGGATACAAGTCCTCCA